ACGCGGCCGAGTCCCCGCACCCGCTCCGTCCGTCCGGGATGATCGAAGCCGAGGAGTTTATTCATACCATTAAGCCCCAGAGAACTTAATTGAAAGAAGAGCACAGCCCGGACCTTGACAAGCAGGAGGTCACAGTAATCGCTGCCGGACATATTTAACATTAAGATAATCAGGCCATTAATTACCCTTTGGATCATTAAATCAGCCAGTTGCAAAATGAAATTTCTGCCTCTATTACTCACTTGAGAGACCACGGGTGGCCCCTAATTTATCAGGGAGCTCGAGATACAAAGGCTGGGCCGGGGGAGGGCAGGGGGGAGGGGGGCGCGCGGCATCAATCGGCCATGCTCGGTGATCGTGGCAAATTAACTAGGTGAGATAACCTCCGAGTCCGAAGGCAGGGGCCGGGGGTATGTAAATAGATGAGGGCAGACAGGGAGCCGCGCTCGCACACCACTTAGCAGGATAATAAAGGAAATCACCCTTGATTATCAGCGCTAATTTGGACACTGCCGGTAGCTTGTTATGCGTGTTCTGAGTAGCATTTAATTAATTCAATTGCTTGTTAATGAGGGAATGACATGTGGGGAGCAGATGCCGCCGACTGCAGATGGGGTCTGGTCATCACGGCAAAGTCCTTCCTCCCCGCCCTCCTCTCCCCCGGCCCAGCTCTTTCTTCTTTAAAAAAAAAGGGAGAAAGGACAGGAAAACGGTGCCCAGCCTCGAGGAACGGTCCCAAGAGAGAAGCAGGGACCCTGCGGGTCAGGAGTCGTGGGAAGCTAATCCGATGTGACAGTCCCCGGGGCCCTCCGAGGTCACATTCGGAACCCGGCGTCTCCGTGGCCGGACCCGAGCCCAGATGACGGGGTCCAGCTCCCGCGTGCGTCGGCCCCCGCCAGACAAAGAGGTGCTCCTCCGTGGAGCCGCTCGGGTGTCGAAGGCGCCGTGGGGATCCGGTTCCTGGCGTGTGGGGACGCTCCTTCCCTCGGTAGCTTCACGGCATCAGGGAGATGAAGCGGCGTGGGGGGACGCAGGCGGGCCAGGGGTCCGTGGGCAGCGGGTCCCGAGTGCGCGCTGCCTTCCCGTCGACGCGGGACCCCAAATCTTCCCGCCAGAAAGAGACGGCTTAGTCGCACCCATGGGCCAACCCACAAATCAGGCTCCTCAAGCCCCCCCAAAGTGGGGAGAGGTGAGAGAAACATCCCCCTCACCCCAAACTCAAATCAGAGAGGCGGTTCCCGCTGGGCCGGCAGCTCCTTGAAGACACGCGGCCACACAGACCCCGCGTGCCGGGGACACAAGGGCGGCTTCTGGCGGCTGGTCCCTGGGCCTGAGCCCCACAGGCCCTCCTGCTGGGTGCGGCTCTGCCCGGGAAAAATGGGAGGTGCCGCCACCCAGGGTGCATCCGGGTGGGATGGGGACAGGTTCCCGGGGCGCCTGGGACTCGCACCCTGTCATTCGTGCCCCCGGAGACCCGGCCCCAGCTGTGCGCGCCTCGATTTCCAGGGCTGCTGTGGGAAGGGGTCGCTGTGGGCCCTGAACTGGGGCCTGCCTGGTGTCCACTGCACCCTGGAGGTCAGTCGTGGGCAATGCACGGCACTGACCCACCGCAGACTGGGGGACGGGGCCCACACAGCAGCCCCTGGGGGCCCCCAACTCGGAGTTCCCTTTTCCACCGATGGCCCCCCCTTCAAAGCCGATATTTTAAGTGTGTGCTTAAATGGTATCAATAGCAATTGGAGGGGATCCGCGTCCCTGCCAGACGCAGTTAATTGTTCCGGCATTGATCTCTCTGCCGGCTCCTTTCTCTGAATTAAATCTCCATTACGGAAGGGGTGAAGGGCACCGTCTCCCTCCTGCCACGATGAATTTCATATCAAGTGCACCCGGAGAAAACGGCAGTTGCTGCAAAATCCATCCAAAAAGATTCCTCCCCCCCCCCCCCCAACTTCCTGGGAATAATTAAAAGATGCTTTTCGTGACTAATGATGCTGGGGTTTAGGAATGGGAAGTCGATACGGCCAGGCCGCGTCAGCTTCGATTGATGGCGAGGCTGTTCAGGTTGGGGCGGCCGTGCCGGGTGGCTCCGCGGGGTGGGGGGTGGGGGGGGTCGGGGGCAGGGGGAGGTGCCTGTGCTGGTCACGGCGGGTGGGGGGGGTGGTCGGGACCTGCCACCTTCCTTCATCATCCTGTGTACACACGCGTGAGCGCACGTGCCTGTGACCCCCGCACGCGTGTCTGTGCACACGCGTGTTCCTACGGCGTGTGGCCGGGCGCAGGCATGTCTGCGAGTGTGTGGGGGAGGGGGCGGCGCGTTTCCAATCACGGCCTGCTGTCAGAATGAATCTCCAGCCCGCGGTGGAGCGGACGGCGGCGTCTCGGGAAACAGCTGGGCCCTCCGCAAGGCACCCGACGGGAGAGACCGCTCTTGGCTTCTCCTTGGATGGGCAAAAGCAGTTCTTGAAAGATCCCCTTCGGGGGATCCCCTCGGGGCGGCTGTTCCCACCCGGAGTGCTGGGTCTGCCCCAAGGGGACTGGGGCAGGGGTGGGCAGGGTCCAGGCCGGACCCCCAGGGAACCCCCAGCCCAGATGTGGGGAGGAGATGGCGGGAGGGGCCACCCGGGCTCAGCCTTGAGGGTGAGTCTCTGTTGTAGACTGTGTGCGCTCAGCCCTGCCGCGTGGGGACCACCCCTCACCCGGACCCCGCCCCATGTCCCTCCTGCCAATGTCCCCATGGCTGCCTGGGCTCAGTCCTGGGGTGGGGGGGTGGGGGTTGGTACAGAACACTGGGTGCTGAGCTGCTCCCGGGTGTGGCGGGTCTCCTCGGCTCACCCTGCAGTGACCTCCGCTGTGCCCTGGGCTCGGGTCCCACCCTCTGTGCCCGGCACACACAGCCTCCGCGGCCAGATGTCGCCCCACACCTTCAGGTCAGCTCGGAAGCTGTTCCCGAGTGAAGCTGCTTTGGCCACCGAGTCCCTCCAGGCCACAGAACAGAACACCCCAAAATATCAGGAGGAGGGAGGAGGGGCTGGAGGGAGTTCGGGGGTTGGGCATGCGGGAGCTGTATCTGCGCTCGCCGTAGTTCCCCGAGCACAGGGCTGGGAGTCGCCCCGGCACTGCCACCAAGGATCGCTGCCTTCTGAGGTCTGCCATCCCCGGCACCCGGTGGCCCCAGCCACGGCACCCACACGCGTGTCTCTTCCTTCTCTGCCCTGAGAAGTGCTCGGTGAAGGTACACGCCCTCTCCGGGGCGCTCGGGGCCCAGGGAAAGAGCCACGGACCCCGCGAGGGCCCTGAGACTGACAGTCGTTAGGACAGTCAGGCAGCGCCATTCTGACGTCACAACTAGACTCTCACCACCGCATGCACGGGCCACGCTCACGGACGCAGATTCCGTGCAGGGAAGGGATTTCTGGCGACAAATCCCATCTCTGCCTCTCGTCGCCCAAATGGTAGAAACTCACGACAGGCAGAAACACAAATGGAGCCCACTCGTAATGCTGCACGCAACATCTACTCCCCCCGGAACTGCAACGCCGCCCGCAGCTTCTACACGGCTCTCGTCTGTAACTGCAATTCTGCACACAGCATCAACTCCCCCGTAACTGCAACACCGCAGGCAACGTCTACTCCCCCGTAACTGCAACGCAGCACACAGAGTCTACGCGGCTCTCATCTGTTACTGCAACACAGCACACAGCGTCTATGCGGCTCTTGGCTGTAACTGCAACACAGCACGCAGCATCTACTCCCCCATATCTGCAACGCCACAGCAGCATCTACTCTCCTGTAACTGCGACCACAGATCTTGCCTGTAACTGCAATGCCGCACGCAGTGTCTACATGGCTCTTGTCTGTAACTGCGATGACACACACGGTGTCTACATGGCTCTTGTCTATAACTGCGACAACGCACGCAGTGTCTCCATGGCTCTTGCCTGTAACTGCAATGCCGCATGCAGCGTCTCTTGCCCAGAACGGGAAAAGTAGCACCAACAGCCCCGCTCACTCCCAGTTTTCCTGCACGAAGACATGTCCCATCGCTTTTCACGCTGGGCCCAGAGGTCCTTCAGGGAACGCACGCTGGGGTGGGTGAGGGGAGTCCCGAGATCCCAGCTGTTGTCCAGAAGGCTGAGACTTTGGGAGTGGGTCGGTTCCCAGTCAGAGTGACCCTGCTTCTGCCCTCTGCCCGGGGCCACCCTCACGAGCACAGCAGTGATGCCAGTCCAGCTGCCTCTTGCCCTGGGCACTCCTGACCCCCGGCAGGACTCAGCCTCTCCCTAAGAATGACACCCACACCTGAGTGCCAGGGGGACGATTCCCCGGTGCCCCTTGGGTGCTGCCCTGCTGCTTCCTGAGCTGGTAGCATCCCCCCAGGGCTCAGCTGCTCGGTGCAGTTCCCGGGTACGGCCCGCTCCCCCCGGGGAGTCCCAGCCCAGGGTGCCGCCCGGCCCCGCACCGGCACCCTGAGGAACGGGATACGGATGTGCATGGCACCTAATAGCCCGCGTGACAAATGGGACGCTAAACGGCCTCAAAATAAACGCGTTTTTCACACGGGGCAACAATTAACGCTAATGAGGAAGCGCCATACTTTATGCCAGACTTGGGTGATTAAATGTGTTCGAAAGATATTCTGGAGAATAAAATAAATTTTGTTACCGTGACCAGCATGGTGTGTGTTGTGTGTGTGTGTGTGTGTGTGAGTGTGTGTGGGTGCCCGGCTAGGGGAGAAGATGCTTATCCAAGATGCAAGAATCACAAAATTAGAGAATCAGGAATTCCTAATTAGTGCAAACAGCGCCACTCACGCCTATTAGCAATGCATTAATTACAGCGATATATTCATAAGGCTGGAAGCAGGGTCTGCTCTGAATTGGGGGAGAGGCAGCCCCTCTTCACGGTGGGCGCAAAGACGAGAAACGAAGGGGCCGGGGACAGCCCCCGACGGCCACCGCGCCTGTGCCCACCCCGCTGCCCCCTCCCCGAGCCCGTCCTACCTGGTGGAGTCGAGCGACGGCTTCCTGCGGCCCTGGCCGCTGTCCTCCCACACGCTGTTGGCAAGCTCGTTCCCGACGGCGGACAGGACCCGGATGAGCTCCATGGGCCAGTCGTCCAGGTCCAGGGAGCGCACGCGCGAGAGGTGGGTGCCCAGGTTCCGGTGGATGCCCGAACACTCGATGCACATGAGGGCGCCCAGGTTCAGGCTGGCCCAGTTGGGGTCTGCAGAGAGAGGGGGGGGGACCCTCAGGTTGGCACCCAGGAACCTCGCCCCGGGGACTCTGCCAGCCCTGCCCCCTGCTGAATCACGCTGGAGAAAGACCCTGGGCGGGCGGGAGCTACTGACCTGGGCGCCGAGAAGGGGCTGACGTGATGGGGCCGACACACACAAACACAGAAGCACAGACACACACACACGCACACAGACACAAACACACACAGATGCACAGACACACATGCACACGGACACAGACATACGCACACAAACATAGAAATACACAGATGCACACACACAGACATAGAAATACAGACACACACAAAGACACATGCACATACACACATAGACACAATTGCACACAGATACACAAAGATGCACACACATGCAGGCACACAGACACACGCACACACAGACATACAGATGCAGACACACACACATAGACATACACAGATGCACAGACACACACCCACACAGACATACGCAGATGTACAGACACACATGCACACACACATAAAAAATACACAGATGCACACACACAGACATAGAAATACAGACACACACAGACACATGCACATACACACATAGACACAACTGCACACAGATACACACAGATGCACAAACACAGATGCACAGACACATGCATACAGACACACATAGACACACACAGACATACAGATGCAGACACACACACCCACACAGATATACACAGATGCACACACAGACACACACACCCAGACATACACAGATGCACACACAGACACACACAGGCACAGATACATCAGGCACACAGAGTGTGTGTTTCTGGTCCCCGGCACCCTCTGTGCAGGAGGCCGCCCGCCTCACGGAAGGGCAGCGCAGGTACAAGGCACCGGAGCGGGCCCAAGCCTGACTGTCCAATGGCCTCTGGGGGTGACACGGGGGGGGGGGCGTGTGGTCCCCAAAACCAACACTGCAACAGCCACAAGGGCGCGTGAGCCTGGGCTCACGTCCGAATGCGGCTTGATCAGCATTGCCTGCAGTGTGGACGCCAGTGCGTGTAGACCAGGATGCCGTGACCTGGAAGCACTCAGGGCTTGGGGGGGGGGTTGTGTGCCGCGGGGGGTGGGGTGGGGAGGGAAGGTTGGGGGTGCCCGGGGAAGGGGGTCCACAGTCGGACGAACTTCAGGCTCGCACGGTCCGCAGGCCCCTGCCTAGGTCTCTGGGCACGCAGGGCCCCTCTCGGGCAAGCGACCCCCGTCCAACCTCCTGCAACCGGGCAGCCCCAGGGCAACTTCCAGGACCCCGCCAGGCCCTGGGACAAGGCCCACACTGGATTCTCCCCACACGGGTCTGGCTGCCACACGGGTCTCTCCAACCCTCCCTCACGGCTCTCTTCTTTTGGTTTCTGAGCCACACCTGGCTCTGTGCTCAGGGCTGACTCCCGGCTCTGTGCTCAGGGCTGACTCCTGGCTCTGTGCTCAGGGCTGACTCCCGGCTCTGTGCTCAGGGCTGACTCCCGGCTCTGTGCTCAGGGATGACTCCCAACTTTGTGTTCAGGGCTGACTCCCAGCTCAGTGCTCGGGGCTGGCTCCCGGCTCTATGCTTGGGGCTGACTCCTGGCTCTGTGCTCAAGACTGACTCCCGACTCTCTGCTCAGGGCTGACTCCTGGCTCTGTGCTCAGGGCTGACTCCCGGCTCTGTGCTCATGGCTGACTCCCAACTTTGTGTTCAGGGCTGACTCCCAGCTCAGTGCTCGGGGCTGGCTCCCGGCTCTATGCTTGGGGCTGACTCCTGGCTCTGTGCTCAGGGCTCACCCCCAGCTCTGTACTCAGGGCTGACTCCCGGCTCTGTGCTCGGGGTTGACTCCCGGCTCTGTGCTCAGGGCTCACTCTGGGCAGTGCTCGGGGGACCCTTGGCAGGTCATGTGCCAAGGCAAACTCCTTGGGCGGATCCTGCTTCTCTGACAGCCTGCTTTACCAGGGCCCTGGTCACATGTGAACCCGGCCCCCCAGCTGGGGGCCGGCTTCAGAGTTTTCTGGAAGGGGAAGGAAGCCTGTGGACAGAGTCCCCCAGGCCCGCCCGACAGACCCTGCTTCCTGTGCCCCAGGTCTTGTCTCCCAAGGGCAAAATGCACGGCAGGGGCTCCCCCTCACGCCCCTCCACAGCCAGCTCCAGGCACCCCACACCTGGTTTCAGGGACACAGCCAGTATTCCCAGAGAGAACTCTAGGGGTTCCACGGCCGCCCACAGGCCACGGACACGTGGCAGCTGTGGTGGCCGGTCCGAGGGCTCCGGACAGGCGTGGTGGCGGTCAGCGGAAATGCGGCCGGAAGCACCTAGTGAGCAGACCGGCCCCAGACCGCAGAGACCAATGCCCGGGCTCCTCCTCCCGCCAGGCCCCTGCGGCGCCCTGGGTGTTCTCCTCTGAGCTGCAGTGCCGAGGGCTGACTTTCCCACCCTTCCTCTTTTCCTGCGCAGGTGGGAGGCCCCATCTCGAAGCCCTTGGCGCCCCCTCGGCCGCACCCCCTGCACAGAGGGGCCGCCCCGTCTCCTACACCGTGCTCTGAGGCCCTTTCAGAAGCTTCCAGAGGGAGGCGCTGCCAGCCTCCTCTCTGCCAGCCCCACCCCCCAGCACCGTCTGGGGCGTGTGACCCGGAGACCCTGGGGAAGGGGCCGCTCTCTCCCCCGGGGGTCCCGCTCCTGCCCACCAGGGTGTCTCTCAGCTCCCCGCACTCAGACACCCCTCACGACTGAAACGGGGGTGCTCTCAGCTCAGGCTTAGTGTGGGAGCTGGGGTGACCCGCCCTGCAGCCCCGTCCTGCCACCGAGACCCGGCCCGGGTGGGCGCAGCTGGGCAAGCGGCCCCTCCCTTGCCCGGTCCACGTTCCCAACTCACTCTGGGCGTCGCAGTCCACGCAGCGGCTGTTGCCTCGGACGTTCCGGATGGACTGCAAGGCCATGGCCTCCGTCTGGCTGGTGAGTCGGGACTGCGGGAGGGGGAGGAGAGTGTGAGCGCTGGCGGATGGGCGCGTCCCAGGCCCCCCACCACCCCCAGTCGCCCCCGAGGGAGGCGCTTGGAGTGAGGTGGGAGGGGTCAGAGATGGCCCCCAGCGAGGATGTCCTCGTGCGGGTCATCCGGGCAGAAACTGGGCACCACCATGCGGTTTCTCAGAGGACAGGCGGGCAGAGGAATGTTCTGGAAACGTGCCTGACCCTGGCACTGCAGGGGCGGGTCTGAGGCTGCCCGCCTGCTCCCGGGACACTGTCCCCTGACACTCCTGCCTACACTAGGGCTCAGGCCTCACTGGGGCCTTTCACTCCACTGTGTCCGCACAGGGGGCCGGTGCCCACTCCCGAGGGGGGTGTCACTGATCCCTGCTGGGTCCCCCGCGGCAATACCCAGAGGGACACAGCACGGGGCGCGCAGGGCTGAGTTTCAGGAGCCCCGTTAGGGGCCCAACCCTCCCTTCCCACGGCAGCCTCTCAGCAGACTCTCTTCTTTTTTTTTTTTTTTTTTGCTTTTTGGGTCACACCCGGCGATGCTCAGGGGTTCCTCCTGGCTCTGCACTCAGGAATTACCCCTGGCGGTGCTCGGGGGACCATTATGGGATGACGGGAATCGGACCCGGGTCGGCCGCGTGCAAGGCAAACGCCCTCCCCGCTGTGCTATCGCTCCAGCCCCAGCCTCTCTCTTCTTTTCTCCTGTTCCGGGCACTGTGGTTACAACGCCAGGGGCCTCATGCTGGCCCCTTCCCTCCTGTCCACGTCCAGAGTGACCGCCTGCTCTAACTCTGTCGTACTGGACGCTTCCCTGACCCACCCTCCGGTCCCCGCCAGTCACTGCTCTTCCCTTTTTCTGCCTCTGGGCTTCAGCCTGTTCTGTGTTATTATTATTATTATTTTTTTTTGGTGGGGGGGCGGTCACACCCGCCGATGCTCAGGGGTTCCTCCTGGCTCTGCACTCAGGAGTTACTCCTGGCGGTGCTCAGGGGTCTGTATGGGATGCTGGGAATTGAACCCAGGTCGGCCGCGTGCAAGGCAGACGCCCTCCCCGCTGTGCTATCGCTCCAGCCCCCTCCATCTGCTCTATCCTCCCTGCAGTGCGCAGGCAGCAGGGGCTGTGGGTGATGTGTCCTGGGGGCACGCTGCCCCGGGCCCACTCTCCCACCCTGGCTTCGGGGTGGGGGGGATTTTGTCTTTAATGTCAGGGTCTTCGCTGAGCAAGTGGAATGAATTACAGAGGGGTGGCCGGGGCCCAGCCTCTGGCTGACACAGGGCCACGGGTTGTGCAACGTGCCAGTGTGGGTTTCGGTGGGCTGAGCCACGTGTGAGACACAGGCGTCTACAGCCGCATCTCAGCACAGGCAGGAATTCTAGGACCCCCAACATCCCGGCCGCCTGCCTGAGGTCTGGGCTCGGCGGAACTGTGCCCAGTGTGTGTGTGTGTGTGTGTGTGTGTGTGTGTGTGTGTGTGTGTGTTCTCCCTCATGGACACGTGAGCCGCACTGGCCAGGATGCACCGGACACGGGCATCTCAGCACAGGCAGGAATTCTAGGACCCCCCAACATCCCGGCCGCCTGCCTGAGGTCTGGGCTCGGCGGAACTGTGCCCAGTGTGTGTGTGTGTGTGTGTATGTGTGTGTGTGTGTGTGTGTGTGTTCTCCCTCATGGACACGTGAGCCGCACTGGCCAGGATGCACTGGACACGGGCATTGACGCTCTCAGGATGCTTCGCCTAGTGGCGGGGTGGGGCCAGGCCCATCCTTTGAGCCCCCCACACCCATCTGCTATCCCCTCTGGGAGATGAGGCCCAGCACTGCAGGGGCACTTCCGCCAAGAGATGAGCTGCTCCCAGGGGCCCTCGCTGCACTGTGCTCAAGGACTGAGCTGCTTCTGTTTGTCTGGGGGCTAGACGTGCTGGTGCTCAGGACTCACTCCTGGCGGTGCCCGGGGGGCGGGGGGACCCTGAGGGGTGCTGGGGATCGAACCCTGGTTGGCTGAGTGCTGGTCTCTGCGGCCGTGAGGGGCAAGGAGCCTGTTCTCAGGGCGGGGGGAGCCCTTCCCGGCAGGGCTGGGGGAAGGGGGCTGACCGCGGCCTGGGGACACGGGTCAAAGCCGCAGAGCTGACGCCCACGCACGGCCGACCCTGAGCCCTGTTGGGTGTGGTCTTGGGGGCTGTTGGGCAGAACCGACAGGTGCGGCCCCTAGAAAAAAAAAGAACATTAGGAGCCATAACGATAGTCCAGTGTGGAGGGCGGGGAGGGCGCCTGCCTTGCACAGGGTCGACCCGGGTTGGTCCCCGACACCCTATCGGGTCCCCTGAGCACCCACCAGGAGTCACTCCTGAGCGCAGAGCCAGGAGGAACCTCTGGGCACTGCTGGGCGTGACCCAAAAGACACCTCCCCTGCCCCTGCAGAAAGAAAAACGTTGACGTCAGGGCCAGAGCGAGCACGCGGTGAGCTGGCGAGGGAGAGCGCCGAGCGCTTCTCGAACCCTCCACGAACCCACGAAAACCCGGGCCGAGCTTGGCAGCAGTTTGGAGACCGGCCGGCAGCTCGGCCTGAGCCCTGGGCAGGCTCTCCCTTCGCGTCCACCAGACTGTCCTCCGCATCCGGTGGACCCGGGAGCACCGAGCAAGCACCGTTACCGCCCCACGGAGTCGGTGCCCCCGACCCCGATGTCCCCCGAGCCCCGCCACAGCGACCGGCTGGCCACTCAGGACATAGGGGCAGCGGCCACTCAGCTCTGAGTTTCCCCCCGACCTCGCCCTCTGCGGCGGGCCACGGGGGTCCCAGCCCCGGCTGCCCGCGGTCCCCACCTTATTCTTGCTGCTCTCACAGGACTGTAGGCTGGCGAGGATCTGGCCCTCGATGGCCTGCACCCACGCGTCCCGCTCCTCGTACGTGGGGGCTTCGAAGTGCCACGTCTGGCCCGTCAGGGAGACGATGATGAGCTCGAAGTTTTCTTCTTGCTCTGAAACACAGAGTCGGGGCGTGAGCAAGAGGATGGCCGGGAGGGCTCTCGCCTCGCACCCAGCCCCCGCTGGGGAGCACTGCCAGAAGGGAGTCCTGAGCACTGCCAGGTGGGCACTCCCCAATCCCCCTGCCAATAAAACAAAACACGGGGGGAGGTGTGTGGAGGGTCTGACGAGGACTCAAGCAGCTTAGGAAAGGGTGCCCGGCTCCCTGCCAACACCCGGCTCTGGGGTGTGAGGAAGGCGGGCCCAGACACGCAGCCCCTGGGCGGGGCAGGCTGAGCCCAACTCGCCACGGGACTCCTGGGGACCAGCCAAGGCCACCTGCCCACGCGGGGCCCCCTGGCTGCTCACCTCGTGCCCTCTCGGCCCCCGTCACGGTTGGCCGTGACCCAGCAGCTGCCTCGAGCTGACCGAGGGGACGAGTTGCTCCATCTCCTGGTGATGGGCAGGCAAGACCTGCCCCACAGGGTCCCTCATCTGCTCCCAGGGGTGCGCCCAGCCCCCGTGAGCCCCACTTCCCTGACAAGGGGGTCCGGGTGCTGGCAGCACCCAGAGGCCCGAGCCTCCCTCTGGCGGTCAAAGGCTGTGGCCCTGGGGTGCGGGTGACCTGGCCCAGGTCATGCTGAGCTGTGCTGAGTCCGAAGGACCCCAAAAAGCTAGGGGAGATCGAATGGAGTGCCCCACCAGGGGGGCTGGAGGACCATGTGAATTACGGGGGCCGGTGCTCAGTTCCCTGACCCCCAACCCCCTGGGTTCCTGGGTTTTGGGGTGCTCAGGAAGGGGGACCATCACACACATCATCCTGGAGTAAAGGCACGCGGGGATGTTCATGCAGAACTGCCACAAGCCACGGGGGTCTGTCCCGAGAGCACAGAGCAGGGGCCTGTGGGCGCGGCTGACCGTGATGCCCACTGCAGGGCCCACGGCGCCCCTGGATCCACTGCTCCTCTGGGGGTTCCCTGGGGAAGCTGCTGCGGCTTCCTACAAGGCCCCGCACAGCCCACCCAGGTACCACCAGCGGGACTCAGAGCCCAGAGGCCTGGCCAGCTGGCCAGCCCGCCACGTTCCAGCCACACGGTTCCCCTCAGCCAGGCCCCGGGTTCACATAATGTACACAGAATCGCTTGGCGAACTTCCGGTCACAATCAGGCCAGCAGGGGGACAGAGAGGCGCCTGGACATGAGTGACGACCAGATGAGAAGATGAACGGGCAGCCCCTGTGGCAGGCAGAGGGGATGGACACGTGGCTGCAACCAGTATGGATGGGCCAGGGAACTGTGGTCACCAGGAGCCCTCTGCAGATTCTGCGGCACTGCGTGTTACAGACCTTCCTGCCCAGACTCCACGGGCCAGGAGCCCAGGGAGAGGGGAGCTGGCTGGGGATGGCCGGGTGGGGGCGTGCCCCTCCCCCCCGCAGCTCCATGCTCAAGGCCACCAAGGGGTGGTGGGGACAGGCATCCATGGCACGTGGATGCTCAGAGAGCAGGGTGCAGGTGTGGGCTCTTCCTGCAGGGGGCGCGTCTGGCACTGCACCCCACACTGAGTCACTCAGGGCCGCCTGTCCAAGCCCAGATCAGCCTTTGTTTTTTTGCTTTGGTTTGGTTGGGGGGGGGCACACCGGTGGTGCTCAGGACTTAATCCTGTCTCTGTGCTCAGGGCTCACTCCTGGCTAAGTGCTCAGGGCTGACTCCCGGCTCAGTGCTCAGGACTCACTCCAGGCTCTGTGTTGAGCTGACTCCTGGCTCTACACTCAGGGCTCACTCCTGGCTCTGGGTGTGGCCATTGAATGAGGTCCACTGCACGGATGGCGAGCACCCCATTTGCCGTCCCATCTCTCGGTCCCTCCCCAACGTGGTCTGGGGCTGTGACTTCCATGGACCAAGTCGGTCCGGGACTCAGAACCCAGGTCCGGGAGCAGGCGGCTCCGGGGCACGTCAGCACCCGCTCGCTTCCCATTCTTCATACATGCCCTCCCCGAGGGCACCTCAGGCTCCTTAAAGCCCGCCTGCAGCTCTCTCCTGCCCTGGACTCCTCCCTCAGTGCTCCCCGCCCCCCTGCCGGGCTCGCGGCTGATGTTGGCTCAGTCCCCAGCACCCCACAGAGTCCTGGAGTTGCACCGGGAGTGAGCCAGGAGCAGAGCGAGGAAGACGTCCCGAGCACTGCCGGCATGAGCCCTCCAAGCTCCCAACGAGCAGAAACAAAGGTGGGATAGTCCGGAGGGGCCGATGGGAGCCCCGAGAGTCTCCCCACTTTTCCCAGAGCATCATTTCCCCGCCTGACACCAGTGGACGAGGGGGAGGGACGTTTGAAAGCTGCAGGTGCCCCTCACGGCCCTAGGAAGGCTTCCTCGAGACCAGTGTCCGGCCGTGCTGGGGACGCAGTCACCGGGGTCCGTCACCGGGGTCCCGTCTGTGTCCCGATGCTCACCGCAGCCCAAATCTGCGAGCACCCCCGACAGCAGAGTGGACAGAGCAATGTGGACAGTAACGGAGTGGCCGGTGCTCAGCCACAGAGAGGCACCAAGGCCTTTCGCCGGGCCCGGGGCCGAGGGAAGCAAACCAGGAGCGAGGCCGAGAGCGGCAGCGTCCAGGACGGGCCGGGCGGTGGGTGCCCGACGGACGAGGGAGACCTGGTGGCATTCAGGTGGTGGCTGTGGCGGGCACCTTGCGGACGTTTAGAGACATCTATAATCTTGGGAAAGTCAGACCGGCCGACCAAGGCACAGTGACAGACGTGTTCCCAACCTTTCCAGGAAGGGGGACCCCCGCACGCCCCCAGGCTTCTGTCCAACAGGCCCCGGGCTACGGCGCTTGCTTGGGACTCGGGCCCTGAGGTTCTGGTCCCTCCTGTGACATGCTGCCCCCCCAGTGCCGGCCGGGGGTGGGCGGGGGCACGAGGAGCTGAGATGATGTGGACGCTCCGATCTGCTCCAGGGTGCTTGTCTGAGCTGTGGCACCGGCCCGTCCCTTGTCCTCTGGGAAAGTCGGGGGCCTTGGCGGGGCACAGAGGGGGCCTACCTGGGGGCAGGTGGTCGGTGGTGGCCAGCAGGCCAGCCGGGCTGTGGGGCCCTGGAGATGCCACTGCGGTCCCCAGTGCAGGCGGGTATTGCCCGAGCCCCTCTCTGCAGTTCCTGTCCCTTGCAAAATCACGGCCGACTGGCCCCGGGGACACATTTGCCTGCTGGCTGCCTGTCCGCCCCAGGACGTCCATCTCCAGGGGCCTCCTGGCACTGTGTGTGGGACGAGGCGAGTCCCAGGGGCGTGTGGGACAGAGGCCGCTGGCCACAGCCAGCCCCACAGTGGCCCAGGGGAAGAGTCTGGTCAGCCCCGGGTGGGAAGTGTCCACCCGTCATGCAGGAAGTGTCCACCCGCAGCGTCAGCCAGAAACACACAGATGTGTGGGGGCAGGGAGGCTGGGGGCAGCTCTGCCCGGTCCCCTGCCATGCCCCAAGCACTGCCAGGAGGGACCGCGGGTGGCGAGATTGCAGTGAGCCCCCAAACGCCCACCGCCAGGCGTGGCCCCCCCAAGGAGAAATCAATGAAAACCAGAAAGATGAGAACTGCGTGGCATGGCCCAACTGAGGGCAGGCACCGCCCTCACTCTGGCCGTGGTGGGGTCAGGGCCCCGGATCCCCATGGGGTGCTGGGTGTTCCGTGTGCTCAGTGACAGAACCCAGGAGTGTGTCTGCCCATCAGCCAGATGTGCGGGACGCCGGATCATCGTGTACCCCTCCCCCCCCAGTCAGACATGCATCCCGGGGGGTACCCCAGCACGACTGCCCGGGGCCAGCCCTGGTCAGGCTAGCGGGGACGGTGTGGTGCCCTCGTGTTTAACAGCACGGCCGCGGCCGGGCCCCTGCAACAGTATTTCAGCGCCGTGAACCTGTCGCAGCCAACCTGCCCAATTATCCGCCGACATTAATAACGGGCGCTCACTAATTGCGTCCGGTCTCTGTGCCGACGGCGTCCCGCGGGGCCCGTTCTCCTCCTGGGGGCAGCAGCTCGGAGCCCACACGAGCCCACGAGGAATCTTTCTCATTACATGGCCCAGGCTGGCTGGCTTCTTCTTTTTTTTTTATTTTAAAGGTTAATGGGCCAATCAGTCATCAATTATTATTATTATTTTTTTTCCGTGTGGAATCCGGGCCGACAAAGGGTTAAGGGACAAAAGCAGTTGCAACGGCACACACGGAAGTTGTTTCCCAGGAGGCTCGGGGGCAGGAGCTGGGGCGGGGGAGGGAGGGACGGGGCCAGGGGTGGACAGCAGCCTCTGTCTGTCCTAGGGGTGCCCTGGGCCCAGAACAGAGGCCTTGGGCGCTTCTGCCAAGGGCACCCAGCAAGATGGACGCTCAGCGGGATGGACGCCCAGTAAGATGGGCAGTCAGTGGGATGGACGGTCAGTGGGATGGACGCCCAGTGGGATGGACAGTCTGTGGGATGGACGATCAGTGGGATGGACACCCAGTGTCTTGGAATACCGCTCAGTTACCCACTCAGTGGAACACCCAGTGGGATGGACAGTTAGTGGGATGGACACCCAGTGGGATGGATGGTCAGTGGGATGGACGGTCAGTGGGATGGACATCCAGTGGGATGGACAGTCAGTGGGATGGACGGTCAGTGGGATGGACACCCAGTGGGATGGACAGTCAGTGGGATGGACAGTCAGTGGGATGGACACCCAGTGGGATGGACGGTCAGTGGGATGGACGGTCAGTGGGATGGACGGTCAGTGGGATGGACGGTCAGTGGGATGGACAGTCAGTGGGATGGACAGTCAGTGGGATGGACACCCAGTGGGATGGACGGTCAGTGGGATGGACACCCAGTGTCCTGGAATACCGCTCAGTTACCCACTCAGTGGGACACCCAGTGGGATGGACAGTTAGTGGAATGGACAGTCAGTGGGATGGACAGTCAGTGGGATGGATGCCCAGTGTCCTGGAAAGTCAGTGGGATGGACGCTCAGTGTCCTGGACAGCCAGTGGGATGGACAC